ACAGAGCCTCATCCGTTTCGCCGGGTCTTCTTGCCCGGTCGATATTTCCGCTTCAACGATGGGATCGTCGGGAATCGAGCGGAAGCGACACGCGAGGAAAGCGAGCTTACATGTACGACGAAATTTATGGGCACGTGATCGTTGTCGGGTATAACGCGAATTGGCGTTCATAAACAGATCGTGAGAAAGATATCTCGGGGAATATATACGTATGCATATACAGTGCGATCCTCCTCCCGGAGGATCGTGTTACTTTTTGGTCTCCGTCCAGCCACGATGGTGCTCCAACTATTTTCTAAATAGGCAACTCTTGCCCCCCCGCGGAGAGAGGCAAGCGCCCAAATATTCGTGCAAGCTCATATCGCGAAGCGCAAACGAATGATTCGTCTCTTGCGATACGTAAACTGGATTATGCGTCACTGAGCTAGGATAGAATCGTAGCTAGGATGGTGTAGAACGAGCGAAGTAGAAGAGCGAGGCGCTACGGGCGCAGACACGAAGAATATAAAATCAAAAGGAGTTAAGGTTCTAAAACATTGAACGTCTGCGCAACTTTGTTGCCTCCACGGAGCATTTATGTTTGTCTCCCCACGGGAGTATTTTACTGGAGTGAATTCAAAATAGACGATATTTCCTACCTTCTATATTTCATTATCTCATCGTCAAAATATACATTGTAAATTTTAGCAAATAAAATATATTTTCGAATTCTACGTAGCAACGGGAAAACGTTGGAAAAATACCTCTTCGTTAATAATGGAGAAATTGAGAATATAACATTGTTAATTGCCTATTAATACATATATACGTATATATTTAAATTAATATATAATATTCTCACGTATAAAGCGGCGTAAAATTCATTCACAAATACTTTCATCCTTCCTTTTCGAAATTTTCGTCTCAAGCCCGATTTTAATTATTTTTAATTTGATCTTCAAATTAAAGAAAAACCCTCCGTAATGTCACTCGAGGCACCGTTTGCTCCTATCCTGAAATCTACGCTTAATCCTTTAAAATCTCTCAACAGAGGTGAGTAAAAAACTCCGAGTCAAGATTCGACCGTAATTTAAACGATAAACCAACAAAACGCGACGGCTGGATGGGAAAAGTGTTGTCCTAAAAAAAGAATTTCTCCGCCTATATGCCGGAGGTTGTTTACTCATCCCCATGATGTGTTTGCGCATTCTCAATACAGCACCGTTGTTTTGCCAGGAAACTTTTTTTTTCTCCAGCGAAGAGAACAATAAGTGCAACGTAGAACAATAAACGTGCTCCGAAAATCTACCGGTATATTTCGCGCAAGCAAAATCCATGCTCACTCTCCTCTCAATGAGCGTTAAAAGATAAAATTTAAAATTGCACCAATTCAAATTTCCCGTTTTATTTTCAATAGTAATTCTTTTTTTTTTATTGGCCTTTTTAGTAAATCACACGCGTTATAATTGAATTGCATATCTGTGGAAAAGAAGAAAATTTTAATTAGCCTATACGCCGAAGCTTTATTTTGCTCATTATATATTCCAATTAAAACTTCATTTGAGCTCATTTTACACGCTCAGCCCATGGCCGAATGGCTCGCAGAAACGTACGTCGTGACGGAAAAGTTTCTCTCTTATTTCTCCCGCTGATACGTCCGGTTATTTTTTTGTTCCCGGAAAGTTACGAACGATAGCATCCGCTTAGCATTATGCTGGTACGAAGTTTTCCGACTACCGGCACGTAGTTGACTCGCTGAACAATATTTTCGTGCTCGGACAAGCCGATAAAAAGTGCCGGGATACTTCCCGTAATTAACTACCATGTGATGCTGAAAAAAAGCGGAGAAAGAGAAAACCACGACCAACGACGAACAGTTGTACGTTCGCGCCTGTATGCAAAAAAGGGAAAAAAAAAGACAAAGAGCAGAGAGGAAAAAGGAAGGGGAGAAAAATAAAAGAACAAACAAAAAAAAAAGAGGAGGGAGAAGGAAACGGTGGAGAGCAGACCAAACATTTCTTCTCGCAACGACAATACGACGCGAAGGAAGTGGAGACGGTCGATTTAGGGCAAGACAGCAAGCATGCTGCACGCCGGAAGAGATTAATTTCCTACGCTGTTCTCCTATCGCATCCGAACTATCCTATTATCGATTCCGTTGCTAACGACAATTGTCGCAGGAAGCCGTCGTTGTATAACGGCGAAACGAGGCTGCGGTAGCGCAACAAATTGCAGCAGAAAGCGTCTCGACATTCCGCCGAGAGAGAGAGAGAGAGAGAGAGAGAGAGAGAGAGAGAGAGAGAGAGAGAGAGAGAGAGAGAGAGAGAGAGAGAGACTGCGAGAATGAATTATTTCTAGGTGGCAATTTATTAAAAATAACACGGTGTTCCAGATTATCCAGCAAGTAACGACCACCGATCTATCGTAACGACGGGCATTTCCAGCGGACAGCGGCCGCGTCATCCATCGCGGACGATAGGTGAAAAACACGCGCGCTAAAATTTATATTAAAATTCATAGGACACACATCCACACACGCGCGCGCGTGTTTCTCTCGTCGCGATTACACCTCCGCGTGGATGCGCATATTACGTCTGCTCTATATACACCGCCGGCGGAAATTGCGAATGCTGTACCAGCCGGCCCTCGGGATTTTATGCATTTCGTAGCTGGCGATCAATCGCTAACCCCCTGGCCTATAAACACAGAAGCCGACAGCAGGGGTTACGAAATATTAATTCCCGGGAAGCAGGCCGCGACGTAGCATACGATTAAACCGGCCCGATAAAAAGCGTATCCGCGGAGTTTCGCGGCCATCGAGTGTTTTTTCGTCGGCACACGAAATGCGGAATTTGAAGGAAGCTTCAATTTCACGCGCGTTTCGCGCGGAACCTGGCAGAAAAACCGCGAAAGAACGACGCAGAGATATTCTTAAATTCGGTTTTAAAAGAATATTCACCCTCGGCGCAACAGGTTTAGAAATAATCAAATGTTGTGAACAAGCGGTGAACACATTGTGTAATAACCGAGAGGCTCTTGAGTTGCATTCCTGTCGCAATAATCGCAGTTTTTCGCCGACACGCGGGACCTGCGACCATGTTTCACGCAAGAATAGGAAAGAAATGGTGGGAGTCGGAAGGAATTGCTCGATACTAATGAGCTCTCAAGAATTCGAGGTCTATTCGAAAGGGAAAAAAAAAAAAAAAGAAATAAGTGGGAGGAAGAGTGGAAAATAACAGGAAACTGTTACGAACGATCGTACACTTGACGTTTCGGAAATACAGCCAGACTTTCTATTTGCCAATTTTACTAGAAAGAACGGAAAGTTCCCTGCCTTCGATTAATATCGCTAACTCCCGCGCTTAATGAGACGGGAAATGCGCCGAATAAAAGGAACGTTTGAATGCAAACCTCGGTCAGATTAAACGGTGAGTACGGCAAATCCTCAAGCCAGTATCGAACCGGGACCATCTCGGCCAATCCGGCCGAGCGGTTAAGTAGACATTAAAAAAGGTATATATCGTATCGATAATTCGATAAGCCGCTCGATGTCTCTGACCATTACCCTCCTCCTCCTTTTTTATAAATATTCACCGGACTCATGGAGTTCCAATCTGTTTCAGTAATAACTAGAGTAAACGATCGGACGTGACGTCACTCGCTTCGAGCGCCACTAAGTCGGGTGCATTGAAATTGTCGAGGGATATCGGCGAGGCATGAAGCAAACCCCGGCGGCGGCCCCGGGGTGGACAAGAGATTTGCATTTCCATGGCGCGGCCATTATACGCTAATGCCAGACTTTGTTTGTCCCGAAAATTGATGCTCGCCATATCGTTCCCGTTGTTTTGTACTTCCGGCTCGAGTAACGACAATTCCTCTCTCTCTCTCGCAAACCGCGACGTTCGCCTCGCTCGGCGCCGTATTCTCCTTAACGTCGGGAGTTTGTTCCCTCTCGGGGAGTTTTTTCTTCTCGGTGTGTAATCCCGATTTTCCATAAAACCGTTTTTTTTTCACGCGGGCAGAGAAAGCGCGATTGACGGAGGACGACTGAAGTTTGCGCAAATGAGAATCACCAGCAACAGCAACAATGAAATGAAAAATCCAGAATACGAGAGAGAGAGAGAAAGAGAGAGAGAGAGAGAGAAAGAGAGAGCCACGTGGAGTTAATCTGAGAATTTGCAAACGCAGCGCCGGAGATGAAATTATCCGTGCCGTTTGTGTGACCCCGGAGCAAACATCGCGAGTTAATTGACGCACTATTTGACTCAACTAATTATTCGTCTGCGACGCGAATGACTTTCCGGCCCGCTTGTCTCTGCGCGTCTCCGTCTCCCCCCCCCGTCTGGCCTACTAATTACGTACAAATATTCTACTACGTCGGCACTCCTTTGCTGTAAGCTTATGCCTCGGCACATGTACATGTACAGCGTTCGTGCAACAGGGAAATCGCACAGATTCGGGAAGAGGAGCAAACATCGTCTGTACACCCGGCACAGTTACAAGGCGAGACGCACGCTGATAGCGTGTAGCGTTGTTTATTGTGCCATTGCTGCGATTACTGCGAATTACAGCCTTGACTTGAGACTCGTACTACGCGAGTATTGTCGCCGCCGAGCGTTATCGCGCCGACGAGATTATTCGCACGCACGCTTGAGATTCCCGCTCGGAGAGTGAATCGAATTATGAAACGAACAGGAGATTGTGATTTTTGCATTCTCGATATTATCATCTCTCCCACGGCGGTGAAAGCACGGCGGAAAAGTCACACACTGCATAATCGCGCGCGTCAGTGCGTGAGTGAGAAGACGAGCCATAGCTCGTTATTTCTAGCGTACAACGACGCGTAATATACGTAAATACCGTATTTACGGTAGTTCTGCCGGCAGTCCTGAAGAACGCGCATCTCGATCAAGCGCGCCACACGAAGCGCGAACGCGAGAGAGAGAGAGAGAGAGAGAGAGAGAGACGCGGGCATCAGCGCGACGCGGAATAATGAATCAATTGCTAAAATTCAAACTCACCGATGGTGGTGAGCACAGTCAGAGAATAGAGGAAGGCCTTAGCGAAGTTCCATTCGTACTCCGGCACACGGCGCTCCGTTACGGTTTCGCTGGGGGAACTCCCGGTGTACGTCCCGGCATTTTGGGTCGCCATCATGTCCTCCGTGATCCTTTTCACTAGTTGGTCCTGAAACCGCGCGATCTCCTGAGCAGCCAGCCTCGTCCAGTTCTCACGGTAGAGAATGTTCAAACTCTCCGTGATTACCCATATGTTCTCCACGGTCTTCGCCCGGGCCTCGTGATTAAGCTTGATCACACCGAAAGTTATTAATTAGGCGACGTTTGAAATTCTGTCAGACGTCGTCAGACGCGTCTGTCGTTAGGATCATAACTATAACGCAAGTTGATTAAATTCATTTCACGCGCGTCCGCTAATTAGCCGGACGGGTGTGCGCATTTCGCAGCTTATACCTCGGGAGCAACAGCGAGCTCCACGATCGCTCGTTGTGTATTCACAATCCGGCCGAGATCGCACAACAAACACGAGACGAGAGTTTGTTTTCGTCGGGCTGATAATTCGCGACGGGATGTCGACGAGAAAGCGCGACAGAGGAAATCGTCGGATGGTCCCGGAGATAAATCGCGAATATTCAGGCGCTCGCCAATGAGCGATCGCTATCGGCACAACAATCCGTTCTCGCGATTATTGGCCGGAAACGACAGACAGCGTCCTTTGTACCGGTGTCCTCGGGGGGGGGATACGCTTTCCTTCAAAGCGTAAGGATAGCGGAAAGGAAGCACGATCGATAAAACTTCGTTGAAACGAGCGCTCGCGCCAGAATGCACCGATAATTCGATTGACTTCGGGTTCACTGAGGTCACCTCAGGTAGAAAAGCGGAATGAAACCGGAGACGTGACGATAAATCGAGAGTCGCTGCCACCGGAACTGTTTGCTCCTCTTCCCCTCGGGGAAGGAGAGGTAAAAACAAGTTCGCGGCTCGCGTCAACGAGAATCGTCGTCGTGCGCTCATACTATCGACAAATCTGTTTACCCATTTTCCATTATCGCCGCTCCTCTGTCGAACTTTTATACAGGGTGTCCCATTTTAATCCGGCCGGCTGAATAAAATTCGAGGATGATATTTTCCAGAAAAAAATGTCAGACAAATGTTGCTCAGTTCTAAGGGGGACATTCGATGCCATCAACAATTTTGACCTCGGGTGAAGGGTTCAAGGTCATTCAAGGTCAACTTTTTTTTCTTAAACGGGAACCCCTATTTTTCACATCGGCAATCGATTCTACGTAAAAAAAAATGAAACTTTTGTCTGAAGCATTTTTTTTTATAACTATATGCACTTTTTTCGAGGAACCTCCTGACAGGTAGAACATTGGCGGAAAAAAGTGCACGATCAACTATGCGAAAATTCGAGTGAATTCCTTGCAGCATTCCAAGAACTTTTTGTCTTCTGCAATTTCTCCCCAAACCCCACTATTCTCGAGTAAAAAATTCAGAAAGTTTGAAAATTTCAATTTTGGAGGTTGAATAAGTGAAATTAGTTTGCGTTATAAAAAAAAATGCTTCAGACAAAAGTTTCATTTTTTTTTTACGTAGAATCGATTGCCGATGTGAAAAATAGGGGTTCCCGTTTAAGAAAAAAAAGTTGACCTTGAACCCTTCACCCGAGGTCAAAATTGTTGATGGCATCGAATGTCCCCCTTAGAACTGAGCAACATTTGTCTGACATTTTTTTCTGGAAAATTTCCTCGAATTTTATTCAGCCGGCCGGATTAAAATGGGACACTCCGTATATATACTTTACAAACAATAAAAACACAACTATATTTATTACACAACTCAAAAGTTCCTACTGCCAGCCATTTTTCCGCGCACGTTTCTGTCGACTCGCAATGTACGAATCTCATAATTAAAAATGTTCCGACGTCGAAAATTCTCCGCGCCACGCGCGCTCTTCCCCCCCCCCCCCGAAGACGCAACGACAGGAAAGTGGAAAAAAAGACAAAAAAGAAATAAAAGTCACGCAATATCTCGAAGAACTGAACATGCCGAACGACTCTCACCTGCTTTAACCAAGCGGTGCTGTTTCTCCTGGTATGCTGATTCCCGGCTATCGTGGTAGCGAGAGTCCTCTGCTGCGGGCCAACCTCGGCCCCGCCCTCGATCGCTAAGAAGATGAAGCTGCCCAACAGGGTGTAGGCCACCAGAAGGGCGCATATCCCGAGGTTTATGGCAAACCCCTTCAAGAAAGAGTGCTGGCTGGCCTTGTCCGGCACGCCGCCGAAGCACAGACACCTCACTTGACGAGATGGATGCGTCTTGGAGCGTTCCGACGTCGACCTCTTCAGGGACGAGGTGTTGCCGTTGTTCGCCGGCTTAAAGCCCTCGTAAGCCCTGTAAGTAGGCCTGACGTTGTCCTTCTCCATCCTCTCTCGTGTTCCTGCCTACAGAGTCATCGAATTCTCTCGCCGTCAGCTTTGCATCCGTCGCCGGCCACGTCGGCGCATGCACACATTCGCCGGAGCTGCGCGCTTCGCAGGATCGCGCTTCAGGCTGGGCGAATCTTCTACTCGCTGGCGGAGATCGCGTTACCTGTGGCCTGGCGGTCACGACAACGAATTCGCGATGTCGCGCTTCCTCTTCGGCTTTCGCGCGGAAAGCATCACACCAGCGTAGCTTCCACTTCGCGAGCGAATGTTCGCGAGGTCACTGATGATGGTCGCTCGTACGCGTTCCGCATCCGTTCACCACGATCGAGCGTGTCCCGCTTCCGCGGTGTCATGCTTCGCGATAACAGAGCGAGAGGCCTCTCAGATAACCCCGGAACACGATTGGCGAGGACTCGCGAGCGCCTCGCGAGCGGGCGGGATTTTGTCGTAAAGTTTTCTTCGCACGCGCTTCGTTCTCGAGTCTCGTAGATTCGATCGTCGCGGCTGCATGACTAGATCTCACCGCGTCGCGACTATTGCCTAGAGAGGACGGATTCCGCGTTCCTTCGCTCGCCGCCGTTGAGCTTCGCCGGCGTCATTCGGATGTCACTTTGATTTTCGTCACTGTCGATTTCTTATTACGGCGCACGGTCGGAATCGCTCGGCTGGATGATATCGCGGAAGGATTTCCTGACAGCAAAGGGACGCCCGCGTGGATCGTACGTGGGGCGGACACTTCCGTCATTTTTCCATGGCACGATCGTCCTGGCTGGAATGCGAATTGGAATTCTATAGAGAAAATCGATGCACGAGATATTTTCTGCGATATTAGTTGCCGCCCCTCTTAGAATGTTCTTCGTTGTTGACGATCGTAAGAATCGGCGCGATAACGTTAAAGAAAAAGAAAAAAAAAAAAAGAACGCGAACAGAAGAAATCTTTCTCGTGCGAAGGAAAGTCTTTTCAGGTTATCCGAATAATACCTCGAAAGTTGATGCAATATGTAAATTTCGTTACTTCGCCTTTGACGTTTCGTGCAAGTGAGTTTCGAGAGTTAGAGACGTCGCAATTCACGTTCGCGAACGAGACACAATACTAATATTATTCCGCACCGATGTATTATTGCAGGGCGCGAGGGGAAAGGAGAGAGAAAAGCAGGGCAAGAGGGGCGGATGTTTCCCAGGGAAACCGCGTGGCCGCTAATCTCTCCTCTCGCTTTTTCTCCTCTCGCTGCTGGCTGGCGGCCGCGCTCTCTTGCTCTCATCGGGCAAACAGAAACTTAAAGAACAGCGCGAAGGGAATTTTTCGAAAGAGTCTCCATGAGTCACTTAAACTTTCTCCCTTTCCGCCTGAACGCCAAGCCATTCGGTTTTCCGCATCCAACCCCTCCCCCCTCCTGCCGTCTACTTCTCGGCCGTGAGCGCGGGAAAAAAAGAGGAGGAACGAAAGAAGAGACAGCAACGCGCGGAAGGAGATAGAGCACGGTTCGTCGGCGAACGATAGAAACTTCAAAGCCTCATTCCAACACAAATCGGATTTCCGTAATAAGTAAGCTCGACGTACGTCCGCAGCTTCGCGCGATCGCGCTGAATGTTCCCTCCCCCCCCTCCAAGGGTCTTTCCTTATTTTATCCGTCCGTCCTCGCGCCAAGAAGAATTTCCAATGTCGCCGTTTTAATGCACCGTCGAACTGTCCCCGCGTTCTCAATAGGGAAGGAGGTTCTCGAGAGAGGGAGGAAGAGCGAGAGAAAGGGAGAATCTAGCTTTCCACGCTTCGGAAAGCCGATTAGCATGCCCGGGAGCTGAACCGGTAATTTACTTGCGTCTTCCACGCGCTGCGATTGTCGCGTTTGCGTTCGCCGCGTGTAAATAAATCGCGCCTTGTCTTCCGGATTCCTCGGAGCCCATGAGCGCCGCCGCCACTTTCGTGCCTCACTGGCTTCTGAAAGAAAAAAGAGAGAGAGAGACACTCGATTACTTACACTGGTTTCCTCAAAAGAGCGCCGAGTGTGCGCCGCGCGGTCATTAAACTCGCGCGCGCGCGCGCGCGCGCGCGAGTGAGTGCGCTGTCTCGCGTGACGGTGTCCCGATAAATAATAATTCATCACTCGCTGCGGAAACAATTTATCCGACGGCACGCTGCTAACGGACAGTCGCGCGCGCTTCCGCAATATCATCGAGGAATTCAATACACTCGGACGAGTTTTATTCCCAGCGAGGGTATAAGAGCGAGAATCCGGGCATCGACGTTGCTCGTCCGTGACTGTTTCGACGTCCTAAGAAAGACGGTTGAATTCCAGAAGGACTTTCGACGTAGAATTATTCGAAGGCCCTGGGGGAAATCGCGGGGAAACTTCCGTGCTACGTGTTGTCCTGCGCACTTTCTTCGGTCACCTGGAGCTTTTGCGGCGGAGGACAATAATCGACGGTCATGGTGGAGACTCCACCATTACCGGAAGTGCAAAAAAGGAGGGACGACTCGCGCGCGCGCGCGCGCGCGCGTGCGAGAGAGAGAGAGAGAGAGAGAGAGAGTCAGGACGAGAATAAGAACGGTAGACGGGAGAGAGCAAAAGGAGAATGGAAGAAGGCCGCGGATCGAGCAAGAACGACGATGGATTCCGCGCGGAAAATATTGCTTTCTGCCGTACATTCGACATCCATAAATGCATAGCAAGATCAACCGATCCGCGACATCGGCTTCTTTATCCGCCGACGAGACTTAAGACTCGGAAGCTTCGGCGGGATGCGCCGCGAGCCGCGGCTAACGGCTAACGCGGAACTGAAACTTTCATGGAGGGTGATTTGCATCCGCTGGGCTACGAGCGCTCGTCGAGCGCTCAATGGACTCCGGGATCTGATTGCTCTGTACTTTTAAATCCCGTTACGCGGATCCGTGACTGCACCGAGGACTCGCGCCGATGAATGCGCGCGCGGAACGTAGCCCCGCCGCGTAGCGCGTATTAGTTTTCATATTAATACAGAGTAATACCCGGCACTTTAACGCCCCTCCGGCCCTCCGGAGTCACGTCTCTCAGACGTGCTTCTTGCCGGGCGTTTGCAGCTTAAGCGAACGCGCGCAGTGGTCACCGGTTAAACGCCGATTAAGTGTCGCGGTCCCACCACGAATTTCCGACACTGCCGCCTTCCGTAATCAGACGCGATCTGTTAATTATGCGCTCGAGAATTACTTTGAGCATAAGGGCCCCGCAACAATGGCGCGCCATCACGGCAGCCTGAAGATATCTAAGCTCAGGCTAACGGCCAAGGGAAAGTGCAACGACTGTAACAGCGGAACCTTACCCAGAATTCCACCCTCTGCTGGTCATTTGCATTCACAGCCGTCTAAATATGCGCGTTATGCGCACAACCCGGCTGGCAGCAGACAATCGCATTCGCGCGACATGATCGAAATAAACACGTCGGATACTAACTCGACGCTAATTTATCGCTCGACGTGATCAATCCTCGTGTTCTCCCTATCTGCCCCCCTCTCTCTCACTCTCTCTCTCTCTTTGCGGCGAAGAAACGATCTTGCCGCGGAACAAACTGCCAGCCCAGGCTGCCGATCGTAAATCGGATCTGATCTCTCCTCCTTTCGTCTCGATCTGCAGCCTCTCCCGCTTCTCTCTTCCTTTTTTTCTCCTTTTACGACTTATTTACGAGCTCTCGTTTCCGACGTCGCGAGCGCTCTCGCAACGACTGATATTCCGTCGTTATTGCCCGCCTTTATTTATTGTTTATTGTAAATAATCGCGCCGATTCTCCTCGGACTTTATAGATCGTTCGACTGACGGTAAGACCCGCGCGCTCGTTAGCGTGTAACAAATGTTCCTCGCTGCTGCACGCTAAGAACGATGAAGACGTGCCGCGAGAGAGTTAACCTCGTTCTTTTCTCACACACAAGTTTGTTTACACATCGATCGTACGCTCAAATAGCACGTCTCGGCGGTTATACGCGCGGCGATAAGACGTCCGGCGACATAAAAAAAAAAAAAAAAAAAAAAAGAAAAAAAGGAGAAAGGAACAAGCGCGCCTGGTTGAGTCGCGTCTAACAGCAACGAAGGACAAAGTGAAGCGGAACTGCGAACTCGCTGGAGGGAACGAAGCGGCGGGGTGGGACGCGCGCGTCATCGCGATCGTAACAATTTCACCGGCGATTTTACTTAAGCCCGATAGCTCCCCGATATACCTTGTCGACTTTCGTCAATTTAAAATCGCATGTTTCACGCCGGGCCGTTGTTTCACAGAGATTGCGTCACAGCTGGCTCGAGCATTAGCATTTATAACCAATTCGCAGTGAGAATCGAAGGATAACCGACGGCTCCGTCGCCGGCGATCACGGAGGTAGAGCTTTATGGGAGGAACAGGAGGAGGAGGAGGAGGAGGAGGAGGAGGGTGGTGGTGGTTTTCGCGGTGCGGGCGAGCAGAGATGGTGGTGAGGCCAGGGGTGAGTTCGGCGAGGCGAGTGGGCGGCGGGGGTGCGACGAGTGGGCGGTGGAGCGAAAAATGTGCAAGAGGGAAGAACGAAATGTGAAGAGAAGAGGAGAGGAGCGTGGGGAGAGAGTTGCGGGTGGAGCTGGGTCTGGGGACAGGGGGGGGTATGGTGGCAGGCGAAATGCAATTTTTCCGTTCGACGCTTTTTCCACGGCGACAGGGGAACCACCTGTGCTCGTCTCAGCGACTTTTAAATTCGTACCATTGTCGGCTCTATTTGCTGAAAAATGTTTATTCAATTTCGTTTACCGTCACTGCAAGATATTTACCCGGTCGCTTTTGCTCGAACAGTTCTCGCGCCATCGCGGGCGATGGGAATTGGGATGACGCAGGGGATGCGACGACGGGGTGGATGTGGTGGTGTTGGTGGCAGAAAAAGATGAAGAAGAAGAAGAAGAAGGAGGAGGAGGAGGAGGCGGGAGGGGGAGCAGAAAGTTAGGCGAGTAAGTTCACTCTGTATGTGCGGGATTATATTTTTCTGAAAGGTGAACCATGCACATGTGTGTGTGTGCGTGCATTACGCGAGTATGTCGAGAACGCTCGTGGAAAAAAAAAACAGACCAAAAGGTCGGGCATTGTTCATTGCTCTGGAGTACAAAGTTGTGCTTCGAATTTGGGTGTATATTAGGCGCGTAATATATTCCTTAGCGCTTGCCTATTATGGCCGCCTGTGGTTACGGTTTTCGCGCTTATGTGCGTAAATGCGAGGTTGAAAATTGCGCAAGTAACCTTAGTGGGCGATGTTAAGCCGTATATGACGCCCGGAGCGCGGCAAACTGTTCCGCAGTGCTCTTGAGAATGGTATAACTTTATATGTTGAAGCAATTATAGCCGTTAAGGTACACTTTCCGCTCGGCGACCGGCCATTGGTCAGACGGCGTTAATGTTTAAGGCAATGCTCGCGAGCTATTAGCTGGACTTACGCGCGCCACGGCGAGGCACGCTGAGAAATCCTGCAGATAAATTGCAGAAGTTGTATAGAAAGTGTCCAGAAATGGTGATTTATGCGGGAAACGTTTGAGAGAGCTTTCTTCGCGGCCGACGTACGGCTGCATTTCGCGCGGATATAAATCTATAAAATAAATCGGCGATCTTAATCATTGTGACGAAAATAGGGTCGCGCGTACGCGCGCGAGCTGAATTACGATGAGCCGAGAATGAAGTTACGAGTCGCCTCTCTCACTCGCTCACTCACTCTCTCTCTCTCTCTCTCTCTCTCTCTCTCTCTCTCTCTCTCTCTCTCTCTCTCTCTCTCTCTCTCTCTCTCTCTCTCTCTCTCTCTCTCTCTCTCTCTCTCGACTCCGCGTCGACTTTGTCCGGTTTTGTGTATCAGCGAACGAGATCGCTGTCGGCGATAGAAATTTATGGCAGAATCGAAACCCTCGAAAATTTCATTAAGCCGTCCCGTATAGCGATATTGAGAACCGACGACGAACCGATCGAAAATGGAAGTTACCATCGCGATACGGCGCACTCGTCGACGTATCACGGCCTAGGCCGTGAGGGAGGGAGGGAGGGAGGAAATTTATAGCCCTTGTATACGCCAATTAATTATCGAAAACTGCGAATATTCCTCAAACGTGCGTTGGGCAACACGGTAAATCCGTGGGAAAAAATTGCCACATTTTTTCTACGATTAGCAATCAAATTGCGGTGACGAGACGGGCGAGAGATCAAATAGATGAAATTCCATGTGCTTCAAGTGCAACCCCTTACTCGAACCGGCTGAAATCAGGGACGATGTTTCTTTCGCGAAAGATCAATGCGAGTGAACCGCCAGCGGAATATTGCGCGGATCGACTGTACACGATTCCGCCCAACGACCAGGGCGAAGCTCCGGCTCGACGGGAAAAAAGCACACCGGGCCGCCGTTTTCTCGCTAACTTTCCTCGGCGTGGGTTTCACGCGACTTGCTCCGAACTTTTTCCTCAGGGTCGTCCTCGGGTTAGCCATACGGCGCGTTACCCGCGCCGAACGCGGCCAAAGCGGCCGCAAGAAATTGCACGAGAGAGGACAATTACGGGGAGGAAACAAATAAGGACGATACATTCTCGCACAGCTGTTCGGCAAACTTGGCCGCGCGTCGCGGAACGTATAAATGCCGTGACTTGCGTGCGTCTGCGCAAAGCTCGCTTGCGGTTTAACGGCGCGTTGCGCGGGTGAGATGCAGGCGGGAACGCCTGTCCCGAAACGCGGGATTCTTCTGCGTGTCGCGACGCGATATCCGGCCCGAGGAAGCTTTCCGCTCGAGAGGACTCGACTTGTTAAGGGGGTTGCGGTTGCCATACAGCGCGACGTGACTGCCTGCGGAACACACGGGCCGCGATTTTCCGGATTTTCTTCCGGGGGTATCGGGGTCGCCGCCGCCGCCGCCGCCGCCGCCGCCGCCTCTCCCGTCGCGGAAACTTGTCGCGCACGTCTCTACCCGCGTCTGCCGCAAAGTTTCTC